AGGTGGCGGCTCTGGAAAAGAACCCCCACCTTGGGGGACTGAGGCCTGAGGGCGGCTGTCTCTCTGGGGAGAGCTGGAAACACGCTCCATGTCTCCATTACCCCCGCGACGCCCGCCCTCCGCACTTCTGACCCCAGGGGTGCCACCACACCAGCCCTGCGACACCAGCGGGCCGTCCTGAGGTTTACCTTAGTTCCGACGTGGTCTGCCTGCAGAGGGTGTCCATCCTTCAGCTTAGGGCTCAGTCCCACCAGACGGCCCCCATCCGGGACCCCAGTTACCCAGTGCAGGTTGTCTGACTGACCGGCTACAAGTCCAACGTTCCAGCCACCCCTCCTCCGGTTCCTCTGATTTGCAGGGCAGCTCACAGGACTCACAAAAGCGGCTCACCCCCCCAGGCTACCGGTTTCCTACAGAGGACAGACTCAGGGACGGTCAGATGGAAGAGGGGCACGGGGCGAGGTGTGGGGAGGGGGCTCGGGGCTCCCACGCCCCCTGCCCTCCAAGGGCTCCTCTCCCTGGATCTCCGCGTGTTCACAAGCTGGAAGCCCTCCGAACCGCATCCTTTTGGGGTTTTCTGGAGACTTTGTTATGTAGGCGAGATTGATCAAATCATGGGCCGTTAGTGACTGATTCACTCCCCAGCCCCTCTGCCCCAGGAGCTGGGGCGGGAACTGAAGGCCCCACCCTCCAGTCACACGGTCGGTCCCCCTGGCGACCGGGCCTGACACCTCACACACAGAGACCCCGCTGCCCTAGAAAGGCGTTTGTGGTGAACGCCCGCGGACGTCTTTTCCAGTCCTACTTGGGAAATTCCGCAGGTTTCAGGGCTCCTGCCTGAAACAGGGACAAAGATCCACTATACGTTTTTTATGGAAGTCCCAGCATCACGCGCAGTGAAGGCAGGGCGATACTCACGCCACGACACTGGGTGTGTGTGGTGGGCGGCCATCACACCGGGGACCCTGCGAGCTTGGCTGCCCCCTCCACCCCATCTCTGCATTTCAAGCACCGCCCCAGCTTTCTGCTTCGGAAAGAACAGGAAGCCAGAGACTAATCAGGCCAAAGACTGAAGACGACACCTTGATGACCCTCGGGGACCCTCCTGTCCACACAGCAGGGCGAGGCGTCCACAACGGATGGACTGTTTAATGGCATTTTCACCATCATTTCATCAAATCATCGCTCAGATTGGGCTGCAATTTTCCTTCACAGGGAAGAAGAAAATGCTAGTTGATGGCCTTGGTTATTGAAACACAACTTTGTAAAGTGAGTCCTTCCCTCCCTTGGGAAAAGTGACCTCGTGGGGGCTGTCGGGAGCAGGTGACACCAGGGAAGCAGCGGAAGAGACAGGGCTGCCCACTGGTGTGTCAGCCTCCGTCTCAGGACCCCTGACTTTTCACCAGGATCTTCACCATTGTTCTCCATTCAGTGTCTCAGTCATCATTGGACAGACGTGTGACAAGCAGATCAAAGAAAGGGGTCCAAGGTCAAAGGCCACGGCCCAAGTCCCCACCCACCTCATTCCACGCACCAGAGAGGTCACTTGAGGGTAACCGGAGAAGAGGACCCGACGGCAGCAGGCCCGCCCGCGCCCCTGGTTTTCCTCCGCACTGTGTAATACTCGTGACTGAAGAGGCGGAATCTTGACCCTAGACGCCCAGCGCAGAGCCCGCCCTCTGCTCCGGGAGCAAGCCCACCGGACCCGCCTTGCGAGGTTGCCGGCGGGCTGCCCAGCCGGCCGCAGCGTCTCCACTTACCCGGACCAGCTGCTGAGGGAAGGGCCCGCGGGAGTTCTCCGGCACGTTGATCGGGGGGATGACCCAGTCTCGCTTCTGCCGCCTCAGCCCGCTGGCGCTCGGGAGCTGGGGCCACGGCATCAGCGTGTCGCTCGGAGGCGGGGAGGGGTCCAGAGCCGCGCTCTTCTTCCCCTTCTGCTGCGTGATTCGGGGGTGGGGGGGGTAGAGAAGAGCCAAAGAAGCCTGGTTAAGTTTTGCAGAGGAAAGGCATCTGTTGAGAGAATCTGGATCCAGGGAAAGATTAGATGATGTCGGTAAAAATGGCTACGTGGTACGGAAAAAAATTCAGCAGGGCCCTCATCTCTACAAAGAAATGGATTAAAGGATTAAATAGGGGTAGAGAAACTGTAAACAAAGAAAAAAATATAGCTGACTAGCCAGGAGGGTGGATCGGGGAAAAGTCACAAAGGAAAAGGGCTCATGTTTTAATTTAAACCCTTGTTGATGAAAACACACCCTAAAAGCAATTGGTGAACGTACAACAAATCTGACAAAGGGCTAACAGCCTCCCCATAGAAAGAGTTCTTACAAATCAATAAGAAAAAATGGAATCTTTATTATAACAGGAAAAAGACAAGGATAGATAATCAACAGCAGAATAAATGCAAAGGATCAGCAAACGCATGAAAAGCGTTCACGTCTTCCAGTAACCAGACAGTGCGCGTTAAAGCGACGTGTCTTCCTCACCCATCAAGCTGACAAGATTAAGCAAAACTGATCCTCAGCGCTGAAGAGGCTGTTGAGTCTGGAGAGGGTGCTGGTAGCAGGCGTGGGGTTTGGGGTTAAACCAACCAGGTGTCTTACATTTAACGGCTTCAAAGATTCGTGTGACGTGGGGCAAGTCCCTTAATCTCTCTCAACTCCAGCTACTTTGTTTAGAAATGGGCACGGCGAGAGCAGGGGGCTGCTCCGGGAATGGGCTGGTGAGAGCCCGCGCCGGGCAGGGCGTTGGCGGGACTGGTTGCTGGACGCGCTGACGCGGGCAGGGTCACCACTGCTGGGACCGGCCCTCTGCCATCGACTACCGAGAGCCTCAGAAATGGTCCTTGCTTTTGACCCAATTACCCCACAGGCGGAGATCTGTCGCCATGAAACTCTGTGTGGGTAAAACCCCGACAGGGATGTTCACCGGCGTTGCTTCTGTGATAACGGTACGCAAACGCGAAGTAGTGAAAGCGCCAGGAAACCTCTGGGCAGGAGTAAATATGTCAGACGCTTCACTCTACGCTCACGTCTTGGGACATCACATGTCGTTAAAAGCTACTCCTCGAGACGTGGAGAAATTCACAAAATAACAGCAAGTGGAGAAACGGCACCAGAGCATCAACGCAGTGCGAGCCCCCTTTTTAAAGGAGAGAGAGATGGGAAGGAGGCAGGTGGGGATGTGAAGTCTGGCTTTCTCTGTCCCCAGGGAGTCTCAAGCTACTTGATTTGACTTCATTCCTGTTACCGCTCTGTATTTCTGAATGTTACAATGTACATGAACTTCTGTAGTTAAAAGAGCCTGCGGAACTCATGTGCCCACGTGGCGTCTGTGCATACGTCACCTCCATGTTTATTCTCAAGGCCCCTCCCCACCCCCGCCAGCCACCTCTGCACTGTTTTCACGGTTGAAGTTCATTTCGCTCCCAGGTCTCAGAGCCAGTAGCGTACGAGGGTTCACGTGGCAGAGGCAGACCGAGGACCAGGACAGCCATGGCGGAGAGGGCACAGCTGGCCGGTGGCATCTGATGGCAGGCTGGCCCTCTCCAACCATGGTGAGTTCCCACCCTCCAGCCTAGCTCCAGACCTGGTGGTCTCAGCATTGCCCTCTGGGGACAGAGAACCTTCCCCACCCCCTTGTGCAAAAAGTTGCATGGAAATAAGTTAAACAAATGCAGACAGAGCTGTCTAATTGATTAAAAAGAAAGTCTTCCATCCGTCCTGAATGTCCAGACTTCAGGCTACATCAGTGGCAAAGCCAGGGGACAAGGCCCAGTACAACGAGACCCGCCGGGACGCTCCCCACCAGGGGCCCTGCTGCCGGCCGTGTTGAGCGCCTGCGTTTCAGTCTGCAGCAGTTAGAAGCCCCAGGCTTCCCTAGGGCACTTCCCGTCCTGCATCTGAGGGATCCATGCACGGGGTGTGAACCCCGCGGCCTGGACGTCTGCGAAAACTGGATGTTCCACCACCGTCCGCCTGAGGCAAACTGACAGACGCCGCCTTGCGACCTGCCCTGCATCTCCTGGTGCCAGGCTGGGTCCTCTCCAGGTTCCTCAATGAGTGTCACAGAGCCGGGTTCAGGACAGTCCTGGCCACGCAGCCCTGCATCCGGGACCCAGACAACTGCCCTGCACGCGTCGGGGCAGCCTGCGCCTTGTGCACAGCGAGCGTTGTGCGGTCCCGCCTCAGTCCTCCCTGTGGCCGGTGCAGGAAGACGGCCATCCCCGCTTTACCAGGGAGGCAACTGGGAGACTCGGAGAGGCTGAGTCACTTCTGCAGGCCACACAGCTCACTAGGCAGAGGCAGGACTGGAGTGCCAGGGTCGGGCCCCAAGGTCGGAGCGCTCAGCTGAGGGCCCCTCACTTCTGGGTTCTCTTTGCCTGTGAAGCCATATCCCCCTGACGGGCCCTCACGGCAGGGCGTGGGGGGCTGGGCAGAAACGGACATGCCACGAGGAGGCCCCGGGGCGTCGGGGAAAACCTCAGACCCGGAGAGGCATCTCTGAGGTCCTGGCAGCATCAGCTTCCAGGCTGGCAATGCAAAGTGTCAGAGTCCCACTCAGATCTCCTACCTCCGGGGGGCCTGCAGTGTGTAGGGGGCCCTCCAGGTAAACGCCTGACCTTGCCGGGGGCTCCTCACTCACAGGCAGTTAGGGTCACCTGCCCCAGCTCCTGCCGCAGGAGAAGGGCTGGGGGTGTGTCTGAGCGTGTCTGCATTTAGGGCCGCCTCGCAAGAGGGGACTGGGCGGGCTGGGGGGGTGGGCGCGGGAACCACGGCCTCGGGGGCGGGTGCTGGCGGCGTGGGGAGCTCAGCGTGCCTGCCCACTGACGCTGGGGCCCCGGAGACGCGCCCCTGAGCCTCCGAACCTCAGACGCAGTTTGCGGGGAGCCGCCCTGCATCCTCATCTGCCTTGGGCGGCTCGCACGGTGCTCAACTCCCCGGTGTTGTTTAAATAAATTGCACTTACTTGCTACTGTTTTAAAGCTGTGAGACAAACATAGTAACAAGATCTGGGGAAGATCAATGCCAGACCTGCGCTGGCTGCAGCCTGGAAGCCACACCCGCATCCCTGGGGAGGAGCGCACGGTGACGCGGTGCCTGGAGGGGCAGGCCCGCGCGAACACGCCGGCTGACGGGGCGCCTGTCACACTAATTACAGGCCGTGCCTCTGGTTACTCTCCGAAGTCTTTCCTAACAGACCACGGCTGCTGATTGCCCCTTGCGCCCCCTCCTGTATTTCCGGGTGAATGATGGTGCAGAGCTGAGCAAGAATGTGAACATGACCTTGACCCTACTGTTGCTAAAAGTTACACACGTGCGTGTTCACAGACAGGCCCGTAGAGGCACACGTGTACATGGACACGTGCACGGGCACACACTCATGCCTGTGTAGGTGCATGCGTGTGCATGTCACATGCATGTACGCGTGTACACACGTGTATGTTTTGTGTGTCTCCCTCTGTGTGTATATCACGTATCGGCTGAGCCCACCCCCAGCGAGCAGTTGGTGCTGGACCAGCAGCCCCGAACGAGGGGTGGTGTGTGGTGCGTGGAGGCAGACGCAGCCCCTGCACATCCATTCACAGCCCCTCCGTGCCTCTGTCCTGCTAGGTGAGTCGGGGTGGGGTCTGCTGGCCCTGGGGACCCCTTGGAACCCTGGTCCCAGGAAGACATGACAGATGGGTTCCTACAGGGGCGCCTGAGGGGCCAGGACCACTCAGGACACACGTCAGCCCTGCCTGCAGAGGGAGACTTTCCCAGAAGGGGCAGATGGGGGTGGGGGCGCGCCAGCCGCCTGGGGACACGGCTGCCAGGTACAGGCTACGCAGAGGCGGATGCTCCTTCGTGAAGACCTAAATCTGCCTGCTTCTTTTTTAAAAAAAAGTATTTCAGTGTATTACTTAATACTTTTACTTTGGTGGGGGAGAGGTAATTAGGTTTACTAACTTTGGGAGGAGGCGCTGGGGATTGAACTGAGAACCTCCTGCCTGCGGAGCATGGGCTCCCCCACCTGAGCCGCACCCTCCCCTGCCTGCTTCGGAATCGGCTTTTGTTTACAAAGCTCCTCTCCTTTCAGACGGCCTCCCCACTGGGCCTGAATCAGTCGTGCTTAGCGTTGGCTTCATTCTGCTGACGCTGCTCTAAACTGGCGGCTTAGAGGGGAGGCGCTGCCCTGGCCAGGGTCCTGCTGCCAGGCCGGGCACCTCGGGTGTGTCCTGTGCTGCCCCTGGGCCTCCTCCGTGTGCGCTGCCGGGGGCTGCAGCCCCGTGCTCTGGGGCACGGCGGGGCTGTGGGCAGGAGGCCAGAGCCGTCTCTCCTCAGCCTGGGAGGTGAGCCGTCCCGCTCCTGAGCGAGGCAGGTGGATTGTGGAGCTGCAGCCCCGCCGGACATAGACTTTACGAGGATAAAACCACATCTCGTGCTTCGCCGCCACTGGGGCTGGCCCCCTCCAGAGAACGCCAACCCCGCGCTGGCTGCGGCACGTGGCGGGTCTGGGGAGCCCAGGACGGCGGTCCAGACCCTCCCAGATTGCCTCGGCTCTGGGCTTGGGTTCTCTCCTGGCAGGTCCTCTGGGCCAGTCTCGGGCGGACGTGCCCTCTTCCCAGGGACAAGGCACAAGGGAAGCCCTCGCACTTGGAACATGGCCGGGGAGGGGGGCTCGAGAGGACGGGGAGGCGTGCGAACAAGGACCAGGACGTCTCACTGGACGGCCGAGGCCCCGAAGTCACGGGGGGGCTGCACGACGTCCCCCAGTAAGGCCCACACCGCTTTCCGCCCTCCCCCTGCGCCCAGCCCGAGCCTGGACCCCAGCAGTGACCCGCCCTGGCTCCCGACGCGCTTTCACCCCATCGGCTCTGCGCCCTCCAGGCCCTGAATTCCACCTCCCCAAGCAGGGCTGGGCCCGCAGTCCTGCTCTCCTCGTAACAGGGCTGCTCTGCGTGTCTGATGTGAGCGTCTCGGCTTCTGGGTGAGGTCGTGGGGACGCCTCAGCACCGGGAGGAAGCTGGGCCACTTCCCTCGCGTCGCTGTTCACGAGCGAAAGATGAATAATGCGGAACTGA